GTACCCATTTATACACCTGGGTGGAGAGAGGCACTGTGAGAGTAAAGTGTCTTTCCCAAGAACACAACACAATGTCCCTGGGTGGGGCTCGAACCTGGACTCGAATCAGAGATGATTGCACTAATCATGAGGCGGCCACTGTGCCTCCAAAAATCCCACTGGTAGTTTCACCTAAAGGTTGGACATTTTGGTTACAATTTCGTTTTGTTGGTTTAACACAGGTTGGTATAGACTTCACAGCATCTAATGGTGATCCAAATCATCCCCAGTCATTGCACTATATGAATCCCTATGAACCTAATGAGTACGTCAAGGCTCTGGTGGCTGTGGGAGAGGTCTGTCAGGACTATGACACGTGAGGCTCAGTTTTTATGTTGTCTACTTGTAATAACTAATAATAATCAGGACGCTCGACTAAATTTTGCTTGGCTTAAAAGTTAAAGCAATTCTGTTGAAGGCTGTCTGACAATTTATAGGAATCCATTTGGAAGTAATGGTGAACAATTGAGAAGTTGGAAAATTGATGTACACTGTTCTGAGCTCTCTTTTTTGTTAACCTGCAAGTAGGCTTTTTTGTTTGTGTCAGGGGGCGAGAGCAGCTAAGGTGCAAGAGACACACACACTCAAAGTTCCCCTCCACCCTGTTCGTAAACTTGCTCGCTGGTGCGACAAATTGAAAAGCCAGAAAGCAGTGGTTTAGTGCAAAATCCAAACACTAGAACCTGCTCGTGTCCAATCATTTTCTAAAAAAAGTTTTAATTTGGGTTGCTGTGATGTTTTGATTCTGATCAGTCTAGCTAGAATCAGATTTTTTATTTTTGTGACACTGATGTATTTGGATTAATTTTAGTAAGTTTCAAAATATTAACACTGTCTTTTGCTTACATCTTATTTTGTAGGGACAAGTATTTTCCAGCGTTAGGATTTGGAGCAAGAATACCTCCAGCGAATCAGGTAAAGGGTGACGAAGCTGTTCAGCCACAGCCTCTAGGATGACACAAATCCAGGTTTCAGATAGCTATAGGAGGATCTTTGTTTACAATAATTGAAAGAGCATAGCACGATTAACAGTCCCAATGAATTTGAGCTCGATTCAATGAATATTTTTTTGTGCTACATGTACGCTGGTCTAAAAACTCAAAATTTTACAAAGAATGTATGAGCTCATTAGCGCTTTAACCACCCAAAAATTTTGCAGTTTTTGAAAGCCAATTTCTCCTCGAATATTACACCCAAACAGCCAAACATTTCACCAGTTGCTAAGTTTCAAAAGCTCTTTAAATGTTTGGAGTCAATTTGTGTCTAGAATAATGCCTTCTTTGCCGAAAGTCGTATGTTAACAAGGAAAAATGTGAACAATGACGTCAGCAAGGGTTCTCCTATATAGTTATACAAGGAATTGTGAAAGCTATCATTTTAAGTGTTAGCACTTCGTCAGAGTAAAGTGATTTGCTCTGATAAAGGACTAACGCTCAAAACATCCGCAGCTTTTTAAATTTGCTACAGAGATCGATTTCTCTTTATACGTCAGCTTGAGCTTGTTGTGCACTGTTTTTAAGTACAAAAGATAACTGTTTCTTCAATTGATTGAGTTTATTTTGTGATTGTTCTCTTAGGTTTCCCACGAGTTTCCGTTAAATTTCAACCCCACCAACCCGTATTGTCACGGTAAGGAAAAATTCGAAACTTTGATGTTATATCTCAGTTATGATTCACAATGTTCACCTTGAATGTCAAGTCTCCGCTAGCGTTACCTTTGCTTTAACTCCGTAATATCTGCGCTGTTGATAGTTTGTGGTCGATGGAAGTGGTTATTTTTCCTTCCAATTCCATCCAATTTGGTAAACGGCTTAGGGCTTGTCCACAGTACGCCAGAGAAATTTGAAAACGATGGTTTCACTCTGAAAACGCATCAAATGTTTTGCGTCCACACTACGCCGGAGAAATTTTGAAAACGCAACAATCACTGGCAGGGTCATTTTGGATATATGCTTGAGGAAAGCTCTAGCAGGGAAATCACATTATTACCTTGATGTCATCGTTTTCGAAAAGCATCGTTTTCAAAATGTTTTCCGTCCACACCAAGACGTGAAGCCGGCGTTTTCAGATTCCTCCGGTTTGAAGAGCATTTTCGAAAAGTTCCGTTTTCGTGACGGAGTAGTGTAGACGGTAGACCTAACCGTAGAAATAAATTGCTGTTGTGTTTTCAAATTTCTCCAGTGTAGTGTGGACGGAGACTTAAAACACGTTAATCAAAATATCCAAGCACAATAATGATAAACAAAACAAACCGTCCGATATTTAGGCTGGTCTTAAACAATACCCATGTAAAAGTACAAAACTATTTTCTCCTATCTTGTACAGGTATCCCCGAAATCGTCGCTGCGTATCAGAATTGTATTCGTCAAGTGCAACTTTATGGCCCGACCAACGTCTCGCCGATCATCAATCACGTGGTTAGATTTGCCGAGCAGGCGGCCAAGGAAAACACAGCGTCGGTATGTACAATGCAGTGTCAGTGATCCTTATCTAACTTCTCCTTACAGTAACGGCACATTGTTAAGCAAACAAGTGATGAGAATGAAGCAATTCGTCACGATGTAACTGCGCCATCAAGTAGTGCTAGTAATTTGTTTAAGGGCGAACATAAAGCACAGAACAGTGATATCTGTGTCGGGACCGACTTGGCCATCAGGCCCGTGTTCACTTGAATCTACGGGTTTCATACAACGTGAAGACACGTGGTGTATTTCTACCCCCACTCCGCCTGGATGAGATGCTAGACTATTGCAGGCGTACCCCTTCCCCTAAGATTTTAAATTAAAATTTCGGCGCTGTTGGGGACAGAAGAAGAGAAGCAGTACATAAGTAGCCTGCGAGCAAGCTCTCTTGGGGTGGGGGGAGCGAAAGGAACTTGCTCGCAGGCTACCAAATGACAGTGGTACGAATTTCTTCTTCAGACATTTCTTTACAAAATGTTTCTTTTCTCAAGGAACGGCCGTAAACGACTACACTTCACCTTGGAGACCTTGACCAACTTTATTTACATGTTGAAGTAAATCGTTTTCATCTTATGTCTTTACAGCAATATTACGTTCTGTTGCTATTGACTGATGGTGTGTTGTCAGACATGGAGGACACAAAAGCCGCCATTATCAAAGCGTCTCGTCTCCCCATGTCCGTGATTATCGTTGGAGTAGGTCAAGCTGATTTCAAGGATATGAACGAACTTGATGCTGATGAAGGAAGGTGAGGTTACAACGAGTTGAACAGCGTTCAATAAAGAAGCAGTTTCTTTTCACCAACCAAACTGTCTTAAATGTTTTCGTGGTTACAACTTGACCTTATCTGTGAGAACAAACATAGATTTTTGTTTTATTTCTTCAGGCTGAGATGTGGCCATCATTACGCTGACAGGGACATTGTACAGTTTGTGCCTTTTAGAGAATTTAAAACGGTTAGTTTGACTTTCTGTTCTGTCAAAAACGTTTTGTGACAGCTTGTGAGTTGGAACGGTATTGTACGTGACCAGGCCTAACAGCAGCGCACAAAGTGAGCTTTACGTTACTTAAATAGTCACGCCATACTTCTTTCCTAAAAAAGCCTTGCGTGGTGATTCAAATAATGGCTGTGTATGCGACTTAAACAAAGTCAGAAATTATTAGGACAGTGAGTTGACCGAAACCTTATCAGAGACTAGTGTCACGCAAATCGCGCGTGATTAATGACATAACCGTCGATGTCATCAGAAACTGATTTCTCTTCATAATGCCAATTTCAAAGTCAGGCGTGCGAGGAAATTTAATTTACTTGACCCAGATCTCATGGCTTAAAACCTAGTTGTAAAAAGTTTCTGTGTAGGTCTCATACTATTCCGTTCATTTTCAACAGCAATCTCCAGCAGTTCTTGCTAAACACGTGTTAGCGGAAATACCCAAACAAGTTCAGGAGTACTTCAGCAAGAAGGGCCTCGCTCCCATGCCACCAAAAGGACCAGCTCCTCCCTCCTTGGGAGCTCTTTAGTGTCTCAGTTTGACTTCATTCGTGCAACTTCGGTTAATCGAACTCACTCGATTCCATTAATGTGGTTCACTGTAAGCTATATTACCAACAGCTTTCATAGTTTTTACCGTTATTAGCGAGATATTGCAGAAAAGCGCGACAGCGTGTCTTAAGATTGAATCTCAACGTCGTCGGTTTCCTACTGAATTTTTCACTGTAACGACCGTTCGTTATGAGCTGAAATTAGGTGCGGTTCTTTTATCAGAAAAAAATGTGGTCTGAAAAAGCTGGAGAAATGGGTAGGATCGCCGAGTTTGTTCGTCATAGCCGGATGTTTGCTATACCGGAAGTCGCTTAACCGGGGTTGCACGTCAGTTAAGCATTTTACTTTAAGCTGCGTTTTAGATCTTTTTCATAATACCAGGAATTAAATTATTAGTCGCATTATCTGTAATATTTCATCTATACTTTAGAAATTTCAATGGGTGACTAGACACAAACAAGGAAGGGCTGTGTGTAAAGCGCTGATTTGATTTTTTTGTTGTTGTTGTTGAATATAATCACGAAGCCAGCCTAACATTCATTTCCTTTCCGAGAGCGCGATGGGCAGGTGACTGATTGCGCACGAGTGAGATCAGTCCCGTCTCTCGCCCCATGCCTCTACCAATCTATTCGTTTCCAGAGGCCACGATCCTTTTGGTCAGCAGTCGAGACCTCCGGGTGAAATCAGGTGAGCCAGCATTAATCACAGCTGTTACTTTCTCCACGGACTTTTAGAAACCTTTATTGAACCTGAACGCATGCGCTCGATGAAACTGGAAACAGGATTATTTGAATCCAGTTTTCGATTCGAGCCTTCGTTGACTGTAACGAAAACGCAAGGGCTCTGGGAACGAGATTGTGTCTTCATGAGTTCTCGGAAAGAAAACGACTGCTGCGCAGGCTCATAGCCACGATAGCATATTCGAATGTATCCATATTGCATTCGTACCAAATATAGCTACTTATAACGTATCACATAAAATTGGTGAAATTTCTCACGAGATCAAAACTTAGAGAATATTATCGCTGTTCATGTTTTGATAGAATCATAACACTAATGAACGTTTGGGAAGAACGAGGAAATCTGTGGACTCGGATTTCCAGTCGCTGTTTTAAGTTGTTTCAATGTTTTTAGGAGTGTTTTTAGGAGTGTTATTGGTTTGAATTATGATTTGTTTCTATAATGTAACTTTAATTTTGCACGACGCATTAACTTGTTACAAAGCACCCCCTCCCCCCTCCCGCCACCCCCTACACATTCTTAGAATTATGATAATATTCGACAGAAATTTTGGAGCAGGAAAATCGCTATTTGATTTTTGTCTCATTTAAAGAATTTCTATCCGTTATATGCACAAATAATGCAGTCACAATCACAATTTGCGTATTATACAATCTGCTGTACCGAATTAGTACACCAGCATTAGGATCAACAAATAAAATTCATGAATTAAAGTTGCTTTCTGTGTATTAACTGCGCAGTGCCTCCTGTCAGTCACTGTACCGTTTTTCGCTGGAATTTTGAAAGCGCAGTGAAGAACATGAGCCTTCCTTTTATCCTTTTCGCCCTCGATCTTTTTGGCCGACCGACCGAAATTTCATTAATAGCCTGGGTACGAGGATGTACATTCTGGTGATCAGGCGTATAAATAGCTTCTCTTAAGTTTGGCTGCGAGGCATCCTTGTCCAAATTGACGCGGGCGAAGCGACAATTCATAGCGGAATAGCTCTGGAGATAGGAAAGGTCGCCTTGTTTGTTTCTGCGGTTACGGTTGTGTTGACCTGTGTTGGAGAAGTCGCGCGTGATGGAAGTTCTACATTTGGAACGCGGGGACTTCACGGTTGATTGCTTTGAGTGATAATTCAATTATCCTCGTAACTTTATTCAACTGCTCGCTGTTTAGCCCAAAGTTGTTCAGATTGAAAAAATCTTGACGGAGCTCAGAGAAGATAACTTTTAAAGTAGAAACTACCGATATCAAACAGAAGGCAAGTCAGCTGAATCCATTCGTTCGAGTTTTGACGTGCAGATAAGCGCGACTCTCAAAAGGAAAAAAAAAAACTCGAAAACTTATAAGAGTGCTTCGGCCGGCCCTTGCATTAAAAGTTCACGCGAAGTAGTTGTGCTGGTGAATCCCTTGAAAGTGAAGCTTTTATTTTAATCGATTAAAGGTACCAAAATTTGGTGAGGGGCGATTTTTTTAGGGTATATCGGTTTCAATACTGGACCATGGCCAGCAGTGAAGGAGTTATCTATTCTTCGCTCCGACGAAGGGCTAACGCTCGAAACGTCAGCTTTCGAATCTCTACGGTGGCCAATTCACATTATCAACCCAGTTGATAAAACCAAATTATCTTGTTATGTTCCCAACCGACGCAGCACCACAGTTTCTTTAGAAACTTACTCCCTCTATTCCATTGTTTAGAGGGTTCATTGTACAGACTTCGGTAGAGGGCTATTGTTTAGAGGTCGCTATAGAGTGGCGCAACTTTAAAACTTTTCATAGCTTTATTCATTTGTTTACGCTGTGCATCAAGAAACATGGCGCCTTTTGCTGGTCCAGTGCCAGGATTACCACAACAAGAAGGATGGATCCAGGGATGGATTCCGGAATGGATTCAGGCGGCCGTGGATACCTACAAAGCCTGGTAACAAGCTGCCCTAAATAGTCCATTCATCTTGGCATTTTTCCTGGCATTTTCTCCTTTCATTCTGATCCTGGTGATCTTCATGTTACCGGTGATTATCATCTTGATCTGTGCACTGAGCACTGCACTTGTCTGTTTCCTAACGGTGTGCTTCTTCTTCGCTTGCGGAACTTCCGGTGTATTTATTCACCGTGACGTTCGGCTTCTTCTTCATGATGTTCGTCATATGGCCATGGAGACTCGAGCTAGTGGTCCATCGCATCCAGCGGTTGTATGTCAACATCATGTTTGTTCCGCCCTTCGACTTGTTACCGCAGACTTAAGCGAGAAATCTGTAAAGTATTCACCAAGTGCATCCACCAGGACTATAGTGGTGAAGCTTTACGACACTACGACTACCACTACTAAGATTTGCGACGGTCTATAAACACTGAAAGCTTGGAACATTTCTTAAGCAGATTTTTTTGTTGTTCATTTTATTACAAGTTGGATCAAGGCAGGTTTTCTAAAATTTAACACCCCCAACCTCCAAACCCCATTGACCACCCCCACTCCCAACTCAATTTTAAATAAACCGAAGCTCTAGATTCAAGTTCTGTTGTCTTCATCTTAAATCATTTAGTAATTTTGTTAAATTTAATTTCACGGCAAATACCTGCAAGGGAGGAGTGGGGCTCGCGATGGATTAACATTCATGAATTTGAAAAGCAATAGCTCTTCTTCGTTCTAGCGCTTTTTAGCACACTGATTGTCCATGTAGTTTTGTCTTAAGGTTTTCCTACAATGACTGATCATTCCATGCATTATAAATTAACAGTAGAAAGCCGTGAAATGGGGTCATCTCCTCTTTTGCAAATTAACCTACAAGCCGACATTGTAGATAAATTCTAATATATTATTTAGTTTCTATTTCAGGCCCAAAAGCTAAATCGTTCTGCTTCCTAACTCTACACACCCTTCAGCTACATTTTCACATGAAAGTTCACGTCCTTTCTTTGTCAGGTTTTCTCCAGTTCCGTCTTTCCAGAATACAAATTTTAGTCGACATGACTGGAAAAACAAAAGGAAAACGTTTAAAATTAAATGCCATTCTGTCGAATCCTTCCACTTTGTCCAGTAGTAAATGCGAGCGCTCCATTCTGATGCAGGGTGGTTCGGTCAGAAGGTGTGAGAAGACCAGCATTTCAGGGCCTCCTTCCATCAGACCTTCCGTTTTGGAATACCTGGAAAGAAGCAAGAAACACGATCATTTAAAAACAACCCAGTTGACGCCTATTATTCGGTTTCAACAGAAAACCTATCTCGTCTCAACGCTACGCCACCCATCAAAATCTATTTGAAAGAAATCTATTAAACACGAAAGACCGTGTTTGACGACAATTCTAAACACCGAGAAGAGAGTTGAAATTACGACAAGCATCGGAGTATTTGTGACGAACATCGAGGTTTTTGGAAATGTGCTTAAACGATGTCTTGAGTGTTTGATATATCTTCTCAATCGCAACTAAAACTAAGGAGAACACGTAGAAAGATAATCGTATAGATCTATGCTAATTAAGATCAGATAACCCTGCAAATACTGTCACGCTCGTGAGTTCGTTTGTTTAAACTTGATGAATTATTAATGAGTTTAAGAAGCTAGTAGACCAATTTTGATATATTAAAATTCAGCCTAAAACAACAGACCTCAGTACGAGGCTCCGGGGAATAACTACAGAGTTTGTGGGGTTTTATCCTCCAGAGCCTCTTGCTGAGGTCTATTGTGTTAGACTGAATCTTAATATATCGAAATTGGTCTATTTTCAGTGTATAACTTCCGGTCACCTATCAAGTTGGACTTTATACTAGTTATACAGTGTTAACTAACAAAAAACCCTCACCTCCTAGTCTTTCCAGGCCTACGGTTAGTTTACGAACAGCGCGAAAAACGGCAAGAAGAAAAATTAGGGGAGCAGTGTGGAGAGCTAAACACCCAAAACACCTCTCTCCTAATTATTTTTCCCCCCATTCACCCGCGCTGCTCCCCAAACAACCGAAAGCCTGGAGCAAGTTTCCTCACCTCCATAATGGATTAATTTCTCCAAACCGAGAAATGCCAGTTTGAGCTGCAGCAACAGAAATATGAACATGGCACGGTTCTATGGACAAACAAGGAGATTGAGTTTACTCGTTTTTTTCTGTCTCTCCTTTCACGCTCACTCTGCGTTCACAAAAGTCTAGAGACAAGACTTCGTGAAGTTGTACAGCTAAGAGTTTCAACAGCTGTGGTGCTGCTGCGGTGCTGCTGTGGTGTTCCTGTGGTGGTACAACTTTTGTATTTCTAACTGACCCCTACTGAAGAGGAACCAGAGGAAAAAAAA